ATACATACATACACACACATACAGACATACAAACCGACACACAAAGTTAGCGCTTTATAAAATAGAAGGATTAGGGATTTAGACTTTCTCATTCAGCATATGCCCATCTCTTCGGTGATCGAGCGCGGTGGTCCATTGCCGAAGCGAGAAAGATTTTCGAGGAACTTGCTGAAAACGGCTCACCTGATGCTCAGCTCGGTTTGTTACACTCTTTTGGGAGGAATTCTAAAGGTAAACTTAAATTCGCATCGTTTAGGTCTTGCTTTTATGCATGCCACAGGGCTGGGCATGCCGAAATCAAATCAAGCCAAGGCCCTGGTGTACTACATGTTCTCAGCGCTTGGTGGTAATCCGCTTGCTCAAATGGCCATGGTAGGTAACCACAAATTTTTCGAGTAGTGAGGTTTTTCAGAGCTCGCTTCGGCTCATTCTTCATTTACTTGCGCTATAACTAGTTTCTTCTTGCGATGATTTCTTTCCACTGTTAGCGCCTCACTTGAAGAGATGTTTCAGGGTTACCGTTACTATGCTGGTATTGCGGTTCCTCAGAATTGCGAGAATGCATTGTCGTATTACGAAAAAGCTGCTCAAAAGGTTGCTGAAGGTTTCAAGTTTTCCACTGGTCTAGCAATTCAGCGTATAAGATTGACCGATGAAATGGTAGGTAATGGATCTTGGTTTGATACACTTGTGCCTTCATCGAGACAATCGATCGCTTGAGGAGAATTCCAAGGTTGCCTTTATTTTCGTTTCAGGAACCATCTTCGACAAACACAGTAACAGTTCCTATGGACCAGAATTTGATTGAGTATTACCGTTTCTTGGCTGAAAAAGGCGATGTTTCCGCGCAGGTAAAATTTTTATATGTATCACTCATGTCATTGGAGAACATAGGTAAAGGCCACGCTTATCACCCATGACAGAACAACGGGCAACCGTTGATGTCATACCTCTTCTGCGGCTGAAAGTACGCTCAGAAGCCCTGAAATCCTTCAACCCATAATGCACACATCGTCCACAACCCCATACTTGCGCAAGGCTGGCGTTCTTAGAAAAAGCGGACGCGATTTCAGCACCATATCTTATCCTTCCATCGAGCAGGGTGGTGTCCGTCTCCTACTTAGAGTATTTGCGAACAAAATTGAGTACAGGGTCAACCGTCCGTTGGACAAAATCCAACCAGGGGGTCGTATCTGACCTACTGGGGAGGGAGCGTATTCGCAAAGGTCAACGTCGCAATACGTAGGTGAGAGGCATAACTTTCGAGTGCTTCTCCAACTATTAACCACAAACGAGTGCATGGCGCACCACAGAACAAAAGAGTCTATTGCAAAAGTGTCCAGTGTACACAAATATGCTCTCTAAGGAAACCACCGAACCTAGTTTCTTGAAAGAGGGACCACTTGGGTAGACTAACTGCAAAAGGATCAGAAGAAGAGTTTGGGGGAAAAATATCTGCCTGTCGGCGACTCCCTGGAAAGGGTTTGGTATCCTTACTATTATATAGAGGGTGAGCAAAAATTACGGTAACGAGGTAGTGTTCATGGAAAAGCAATGCGGCCAGGAAGACACACGTGGACACCAACAATGTATTCATAGGAGGTTACCAGCAGAATACAACATCAGTTCTTGGACTGGCCGCTGTCTGCGTTTATACCTGACAAGGGAGGTCGTTCAGGGCAGAGCGGCCATTTTCGAAACGTTTTTTTGCAGGATTTGTTGTAGGATTTCGTGCGTGGACTACAGAATCAAGGTCCATCTTATCGTTAGCTGATTTGCCCTGAGAAGGTCAAAGTGTGGAGAGGAAGTGGTCCAAGGATCAATCCTCCCTGTGGACAAAATTTTTGCATTCCAATTGGAGCTCCCAAATTTTAAAATACCACCATCGTAGAATCCTTACTATTATATAAAGGGTGAGCAAAAATTACGGTAACGAGGTAGTGCTCATGGAAAAGCAATGCGGCCAGGAAAATACACGTGCACACCAACAATGTATTCATAGGAGGTTACCGAGCAGAATACAACATCAGTTCTTGGACTGGCCGCTGTCTGCGTTTATACCTGACAAGGGAGGTCGTTCAGGGCAGAGCGGCCATTTTCGAAACGTTTTTTTGCAGGATTTGTTGTAGGATTTCGTGCGTGGACTACAGAATCAAGGTCCATCTTATCGTTAGCTGATTTGCCCTGAGAAGGTCAAAATGTGGAGAGGAAGTGGTCCAAGGATCAATCCTCCCCGAGCACAAATTTTTGCATTCCAATTGGAGCTTCCAAATTTTAAAATACCACCATCGTAGAAACTAGGTATCATGTTCATTATCAGGACCACCAGTAATTATTAAACTCAGATTTTAACTGGAATATGGCGGAAAAAAGTTGCAACACCAGAAGGGTGCCAAATGGTGCCGAAGTGGCGTAAATTGGAGCCGTCTGGAAAAGGATGTCATATTCGTGATCAGAGCATTAGATATTCTTTAAGTAGAAGTTTTAGAAAAAATTGGGATTTTGAGCCAGTTCCGAAAAATTGGCCATCGACAGGTCGGTCAGTGGCCCATGGGGTACTTCCAGCCAGCGATTGGGAAATGGGATTCCTCGTAATCCTCCTCCAATCCTTCTATTTTATAAAGCGCCAACTTTGTGTGTCGGTTTGTATGTGGCTAAATAAACACCTACTGAGGTCACTTCCAGTTATTTCACATGGTGCTGCGGTGGCAGCTGAAGGTGAGTGGAAGGAGAGGAGAGGGGGGTGAAGTGTTCGAGGAGGGTAGGCGGGAAACCACCCCCAACAGGCCTAGGATGCAATTAGCTTTCGTAAGGTGATTTTAGGCCGTAAAGCGTACGCTGTGAAAGAAGGTCCCGGCGGTTGGCGGGGGACCAACCTGGTAATAAAAAATTCCACTATAGAATAGATAGGGCAGGCAGCTAAGCTGGTGGGGGGAAGAGCACCCATACGGATGAATTCGACAAATTCTTTCCTTCATCAATGCTTGGTATATTGAGCCCTTGGCTCTTCCACTCGTAGGACCTCATCTCATACCTGGAGCGATTTCAAGGACAGGGACGTCGTGGTAGACGTCCCTATGAAACCGAGCTTTGGATTCCGTGAATCATCAGGGTGTTCCGCTTGATGTGCGCGCAGCGCTCGTCTTCAAGTCGCCCGCCAGCGTGCATGACACTGTGACCAATGGTCACCTCGTTTTCCGAAGATAGGTCAAAATCTCGATTTTTGTCGAAAATTGATCAGGTCAAAATCTCGATTTTTGTCGAAAATTGATCTATAGGGGTGATTCGGGGTGCTCCCAAACGAGCTTCCTTTGCTGATGTACCCCCCCCCCAACTACAGGACTGAAAATGACCCCTTGCCAATGACTACTCGACTCATGCCTGACCCCGGGCTCACCACCCGTATTTACCCTACATTCTCTCTGATTCACGGATTCCTTTCTAACAGTGTTTTTAGCTGAACCCGCAACTGTCCTTCTTTCTAGCCTCCGCGACAGACAATTAGATTTAGACAGACATTGTCACAGTTACCTGTTCCAAGTGAAATTATTTGTCACTTTTGATTTATTCTATTAAAGTGTTTGATTATTTCTCGATTTCAGGTTGGACTAGGGCAGTTGTATTTGACCGGTGGAAGAGGTGTTGAACAGAATTTTGATTTGGCTAACAAGTGAGCTTTTCTTTATTGTCAGTTTAAAATTCGTCAAGGCGTTCATGAGAGGTGTTTATATGTTTCCGTGTAGGTACTTCTCATCGGCAGCTGAGTCGGGTCACGCTGGTGCTTTTGCTTTTCTTGGAAAAATGTATCTTGATGGTACTCACATCACTCCTCAGGATAATACAACTGCGTTCAATCTTTTCTTGAGGAGCGCGGATAAGGTAGTACGCTGACTGTGCTTTGTTGCCAATTTTTAACTAACGTTCATATATTTAGTATTTTTTCCAAAAGGTTGATAACTATGTTGCTTTTTTTTTCTTCAGCGTACGCTTTTTACAGAAATGTTTACTCGTTTAGGGAAACCAAAACGGACAAGCTGGATTAGGCGTAATGTATTTGCAAGGTCGAGGTGTTCGCAAGGATTACGAAAAAGCATATCGCTTATTTTCGTTAGCCGCTGAACAAGGATGGGTAGACGCTCAGTTGTATCTTGGCGAAATGTATTTCAGTATGTTTTCCCAGTAGAAAACATGTGAACACTTATTGGCTTGTTGTAGTCCTAATTGTAGCTTCAAATTGCGTAGTTAGGCTCATTAGGCTTAGCTAATTTCAGAGGGCCTCGGTGTGAAGAGAGATTTCAAGGCAGCTTTGAAATATTACCAAATGGCAACTCAAAACGGGCACATTCTCGCATCGTATAATCTGGCACGAATGCACTCTTCTGGTTAGCTTCTCAAATGAAGGCCTATTCTTTCCCTTGCAATTCTTCCCAAACAATTTAGGTGCTTGAAGTACTCTTTCAACTTTGCAGGCATCGGAGTGTTAAGGCAATGTACTACTGCTGTTGAATTCTACAAGAATGTGGCTGAACGCGGTCGTTGGAGTGAACGCCTCATGGAAGCCTACGCTGCTTATAAGGTGAGCGATGTGTCCTCGTGATGTTATCTCATGTATTTTTTTCAGGAATTCCCCTCTTCCGAAATCAGTTTTCTTGCATTAGTTTCCGCGTCTTTTATCTCTTTGACGACAACGTCATTCAATGTCTTGCGATGCCCATGACATGAAATGCATAGATTTTTTACAACTTTTCTAGCGTTAGCATATTGTTAACAGTGAGCTTTTTCCAAGTTTCAAGCGGAGCTTGAGAGTGGTTCTCTTTAGCAAGCTTTATGTTAAGTTGATCTGAAAATCACCGTTTGTTTCGGCTCGTGGCCTTTCTAACTTACTTGATCGATTTGATGATGTCGATGTCATTCAGAAACCCAAAATCTTTCGACCATTTTCATGAATAATGTATTTGTTTCAATATAAGACTTCTCTATGAAGTTTCACGTGAGCGAAAAGAGCAGCTTTTCAAAACAGCTTTTTGCTCACGGTTGTTTGGGGTAGACTAACGTAGTTAGATTGCGCCTCGCCTGTGGCTCGACTATTGTGGGCGGATCATGCCCGGCCATATTTCCTTAGCTCCAGGTCCAACCGTGCATCCTCCATCTCTTGCTTTATTGATTCGATGCTTGGTTCAGTATTGAGTTCAGCTTTGAACTCAACTTTTACTCATGCAAATGCAACACCAATAGTCGTTTCCGCTCATGTATAAGCTTCATAGTGAAGTCAATGTGCAGGTCTTGTATAACAGAATACGAAAACAACGAGCAAAATGACGGTGCCGTTATCGGGTTTTCGAGTATTTTACTTATTATTTTCCACAGACACAATTTGCACCTCTACTTTCACATTTATAGAATCAGCCTATCGTTAGTTTTTTTCTAGCCCTAACGATGATTGACACCGCAATGTTTTCCAGGAAGGACGTCGAGACGAAGCGGCTATAAAGTACTTGTTCTTGGCAGAATTGGGATATGAACCAGCACAAACGAATATTGCATATATTTTGGATAGAGGTAGGTGCTGTGTCAGCTTAGGCTGCTTTCATAGTTGCGGTCCGTGCGGTCCGTGCCGTCCGTGCGGACGGCTCGGACAGGGTGAAAAACGTCAACACGCGCTCTGGCGCACAATGCGTACTTGGCGCGCAGTCGGCGCCTCCCTCGATCGATACCTCGGTTTAAATGCATTTCCTGCATTTTTTCGAAGTTTGTGAAGATGTTTTGCGTTCATTCAGTTGAGACTTCTTCTTTGCCTTAGTTGATATGTTTCAGTTGCTCCGATCGAGTCGGCGTGGATTGGCTCAACCGGAGCAACTGTGCGCGAAAAAACTCGTCCGCCGTTTTTTCCCGGTAAGTTTAGCGGAGTGCTAAGTGGGAACATGGCAATCCGCATCGGAAGATGGATAACTTTGATGCTTTAAAACTTCCCTACACGTCGTTGAAAATCGCACGTCATAACATGTTGCGTGCTTGACCTTTCCTTATAATGGGCCTACTACACTATCCAAAAACAGAGGTATCGATCGAGGGAGGCGCCGACTGCGCGCCAAGTATGCATTGTGCGCCAGAGCGCGTGTTGACGTTTTTCACCCTGTCCGAGCCGTCCGCGCGGACGGCACGGACCGCACGGACCGCAGACTATGAAAGCAGCCTTACCAGGGTTCACCATAGTCGCACAAGTATTTGTATATATACTGGTCCGAATATGATGGAGCAAAAATTGCTTTGTCACATCATTTTTAACTTCTGGTTTAGGGTATTGTGTAGTTTTTTCTTTTTCCTGAAGACAATTGGAAGTCGCTGTTCGGGAGAAATGAAAAAGGCGTCGTTTAGGGGAAGCTGATTCGCTTTTCCCATCTTCTAAAGAAAACGTGCTCGAAAGAGCAATCGTGCAGTGGCAACGTGCAGCGAATCAGGAATATCCATTAGCAAGAATAAAACTCGGTGATTACCACTATTATGGATGGGGTACGCCGGCTGATTACCAGCAGGTAACTTGAATTTTTGTGGTTTTCATCAATTTTCGCACTAATCTTCATGTGCAAAATGAACAATGAATCTTGGCATGAGTCGTAGAGAATATGTCAGTATAGTGAATAAGCTCCAACCAAGATTGATAACAACTTTTATTTGGCTTACGTTTCGGCGCTTTCGCCTTCTTCAGAGCCTGGAAAGAGGAAAGCCATTTACGAAACTACCCGTCCAAATACTATTTCAACCTACAAGAATCGCTCAGCAGGGGTAAACTACTAGGGCGACGTCGTGGGACAGAAAAAGACAACTAACCTTTAGAAAAGTCGACCAATGAGGTCCACCTGCCACCCTGAGCTGACAGTAATGCGGCTTAAATAGCCCCAAGGTCACTTGCTAGGGACCCTCCTGAGGGTTGGTCATGGAGATCAAAACATCCCAAAAGTCTACTAGAGGCAAGGCGCTGACCGTTAATATATTTTGCATTCATGAGAAAACAGCCCTGTGATATTTGCTTTGCGTGATTTAACACGATGATGATTTTGGCTTCTTTGGCCACGTGGGACCGGCGCGATTTTGCGAGCGCCGCCGCCTCAGGTCCTTCAGGCGAATTTTGCGTGGTAAATGCATAAAACATGATTGATACAAAGTTAGTATTTTTCAGTGCGTAGAAGCGCCCCAGAGATACAGTAGTGAAATTTTGATCGAAATACGGATGAAATAATAGTGAAAAAGCAAAATTTGTCAGAATCAGCTGCAATGAAAGCAATTTTGCATCGATTATTGCAATCAAAACACATATCTTGTCATCCTTGAGGTTCCGTATTGACTTATACTACCCTTTAAATATTCACATTCATGAAAAGAAAATGTAAACAAAAAATCAACTAGACTGACGATTTCGTTCGGTTCAGAAAACCTCCCCTAATTTGAAGCATACGTGACCATTCTAAGAGCGACTATGTTTGTATCTATGCTAAGGTTTTCTCTATGGAATGAATACAAGAAGCCTAAAAATGAATCACGTGTGCGAGAAAAAATGAATGCACTTGGGTGCAGGACACATACGTCCCGCGTTGTCCGTCATGGCCTGCAAAGTGCGGGACGTATGTGTCCTGCGCTGTCGTCAACGTGTAATGGGTGACTCATGCAAGAAATGTTGCTTTCTCAGAATTGTTCACATGATTATGTTTCGTTCTTTCTCTTAATTTAATTGGATGCTCATCCATTCAGGCTGCTCAACATTACAAACTAGCAGTAGAACGTCATGCTACTGCACAAGCCATGTTCAATTTGGGGCTCATGCATGAGCAGGGCCTAGGAATCACTCGAGTTGGTTTTTTTTCAGTATTCCCATCTGTTAGCTTTCGTTATCGGTCGTTCCTTCAGTCGGTACCAGTTCTATTGAAAGGTAATTAGAAGAGTCATTCCCTTCTCTCACATCTGCCCAGCTCAACTCAGCTAACTGAAGTTGAAACGCTGAGCTAAAATCTGCTCCCGATCTGCTGATCTTTTTTCTGAAAGGAATTACTGGTCAGAGTAGCGGCCCAGCGGCAGTGGTCTGGGCTCACGAAAAAGAGGTCAGGGATCGACTCCTGGGCGAGTTTATTCTTTTGCCGTTTGCAGTAAGATAGCTAGGAAGATTCCTAACATCGCTAGTCCAACATGCTTGCGTATAGTTAACAGTACAAAGAATTTAAGGGCAATTAATAACGAACTTGGGCGGCATGTGCTCCTGACTACTATAGGCCCTGTAGCGCAGGCGCAAGTCATCTTTGCGGCGAACAAAAGTGATATATCTATAATCAGGATGTTGGTCTACTTTTTTGGACGATTTTTTGGTCAGATTACATTACAAGAAGTTATAGAAGTCCATTACAAAAGTTGGGATTGTAATTGAATTGGCCTTCTAACCACATTTAAGTAACGATAACATGTAGCGTCTGGCTTGCCCGTCTGCATCTACGATTGGTCAACTCTGGAATTGGAGTTTGGGGAGTGATAGTCCTGTCACTGCTTCTCTTTTTCTAGACGGTCATAACCATTTTGTTAAAAACTCGTTTAAGTGATATTTTGATCACATTTATATGTATGTGTGAATATCGTAAATACTTGCCACAGAAAAGTCTTGCATCTGCACTGAGGACATCATGGGCACTCACAGGGAAGTAGTGTTCGAACATACGACAATCACTTTGCAAACTCTCCGTAGGTAGCTTCAGGTGACCTTTGATACAGTAGCTGAGCTTTAGCTAGTTGAAAAAAGAGCAAAACACCAAACTATTACGCTAAATCTTCGTGGTGTGAATAAGGGGGCCTACATGTGATTGCAGGCAAGATTCTCAAAAGTAAGGGCGGTGAAGAAAAACCCTCCGTAACTCCTTTCAGAGAAGAGTTCAGCAGATGTTGAAAGCAGATTTGAGCTCAGCGTCTCAGATGTGTGTAGAAACGTACACATTATTCCATTTGGCCTGGTTGACCTGGTGGCCCTCCCCGGTTAGCTAATTTTTGCAGAAGTCGTGAAGAGAGGCATGGGATTATGATAGGGATATTTGATATTGAACTTCAAAATGAATAAAGAAAGATGGTAAACCGTCTTTTTAGGATCTTCACTTAGCGAAACGTTTCTATGACATGGCGGCTGAGCAGAGTTCAGATGCCGCCGTTCCGGTAGCGCTAGCCTTAGCTAAACTGACTGTGCTCTTCATACTTGAACAAATAAATAAGGTATGTCGAGGATGGGTCTGGTCGCTTTTTTCTTCAGCCTTTTATCGATTTGATCTCATTCAGAATCCTGTTATACAACTACTGGAGAGGTACGTGGGACCTAATTGGGATATTGTAGCGATGTCGATCTTAGCCGGTGTGCCAGTGATCATCTTCCTTAGGTGGAGGCGCGGTCAGCATATCTGAATAGGGTAAATAAGTTATTTGTGATGTTTTTTGATGACTAGATATTCTTTGCTTAGCTTTGGGTTTATATGACTTAATACATTCTTCATTCCACCTTAGCTGGTTATGGTAAACATTAAAGTGCTGTTTTGATGAGCTGATTATGGGAATTCTGAGGTGATTTTCTGAACTGGTTGGTACCGCTCGTGACACTGCTTCTTGGATTGGTTTGAGATTGTTCACGAAACCTGTGTAGCGAAAAAATTTTATTGACGGGGAATTGTCAGGTATCTTTTCATACTATTGTAAATACACTTAGGTTTTGTTTAACAGTTTTTGCTTGTCTTTAGTATTTAAAATTGGCCTAAAACGTGATCAAAATCTTACGAACCAATCCAGGATTCTCAAACATAATAAATGCGAGAGCCAAGCCTTTGCAGAATGCAACCGAAGATGGGTAGTCTAATACATTTTTTCGCTGTACTAAGTTGATTGTTTGTTGAGTCTCCTTAGCTCCTTTTGTTCGCATTGAACTAATCTGAATCCAATTACCTGCCTTTTGTTTTGTCAGAGCAATCCTCTTACGTCAGACTGTGATATGCTAATTGTTTCATTGTTTGTTTATCTTTTTCTTTCGCTTTCTCATGCCCCACACTGAAGCTCTGAAAGATGTCGCTATACGGTTACGGTAAATGTTCGAAATGTTAATTGTGTGTGATGTGAAATGAAATGAACTATTGGTAATATTGTTTGTGCGTCCGTCTAAGTTGTGAACCGAATTCGGTTGCCATATTGAAGCCCAGAGGATGATGATGATGAATTATTGAAAAAAAATTTCTCTAGACCAGATGGCGTCATTACTGCCATTCACCCAGATTCGCAGCAATACCGTCAACTTTTTTATGAGAAGTTAGTAAATTTTATTTTTTTTTACAGGTCCCATAAATAGCTCAAATCTAGAGAATTCTGGTTCTCTGTCAACTTCTGTCTCAATCGTATTTTAGAGGTGTTTGATACCATATTTTTATTTAGCTTTCGTTGCAAGTGAGTGCTGATAACCCTCTCCCTGTCGCAGGTCTATTATTGACATTGTGTATTCTATAGAGAACTTTCTTCAACACGTTGATGAAAGGCGTCAGAATGTCTATCTCGGTCTCAAGTCTGACGCGCATGCGCGTTATTATCTTGGTAACCATTTTTTGCTCATGTCTGACTTCTTCCGATATTGGGTGGGTATGGTAGTGTACGGAGTCCGGCCCAATGGGTGGGGCTTGCGCCAAAATCTCTTGAGAACAAATCAATCTCGGTAATGGCGCAGGGTGCTCGATTGAGGTTGGAAGCCGCAGTATTGATTGGGTGCGGTAGATATGGAAATTCCACAGGTGAACCAATATCGATTGAAAATATCGGATTTTCCGCTAAGAGCTCGAATGAGGTTGGGGATTTCAGCATTGATTGGAGTTGTTGCGGAAGTGCAAACTTATTCGTGTCACGGATTATTCCTGTACCAGTCGCATCGCCCGGCTACGCTGGGCTCTGCTCCTTCCTGGAACTCGGAATGCCCGGCTGACGCCGGGCATTCCTCCCATCTGCACACATCGTATAGCACCCATCGTTTGGATCACCCCCCTCTCTTCTCCGATTATGTGTTCATTCTCTCCACCGCGTACTCAACACTGCATCTATACGAACACCACATCCCACATTTGTGAGACTCACGTACAAAGACAATAGAGGAGTCCATCGCTCTAGAACTGGCGAAGGTGGCACGTCATAAATGCAGTGTTGAGTACGCGGTAAAGAGAACGAACACAAAATAGGGGGAGGTGGATTGAATCGATGAGTGCTATACGATGTGTGCAGATGGGCCGCGTAGGTCGTAACGTGAAGTGTGTTCACGCAATGTTGAGCAGTGATTAGACCAATTCCCAGTTGAAGTCATTTATCCGATGGGTTAGTGTGAACACACACATTCTAGCTTTCCATGCGTGTCTCTCGGATCGCCCACCCCTTCCTCTCCCTATTCTCAGGGTGGCTATACTCCCCTAGACGCCTTATTTTGCACTGGTGTGATCACTGGTTCGCTGGAGGATGCAGGCATGGGTTCGCGTCTTCGTCGAAAGTTCTCTTCTACCAACTAGCGTTGTACCCTATTTGCTACTTTTCGGTTTCAGTTTCGAAAAACGCACTTTTGGGACAAGCTGCACTCAATTCGCGCTTGCCAAATCGCATATAATTCACACATCGTCATCGTATTTTTATCGCACTTCCCTCATTCGATCGACCTCTATCCAATCGTGTGCGCATCAACAACTAAAACCAACGAGCAAAGTGGGTCGCATCTCTCGCATGTTCAACAGTTTCCTTTAGCTTTTACCTCGGTGCTGCGCCACATAGGAGCTCTACTCAAGTACTGGACCACCACCAAGTTGTCGTGGTCGCTGCTTTTAAATATGATTTTTTTCTAGTACTGACTGGTGTCCTGACCGCTCTTTTTCAGAAACTTTGAGCTGATGTTCTAGGGTTGCAGGAGTTTTTTTTTCGATTTTTTTTATCTTGTGATAATGAGAAATGAGTTATTTGTTTGAAGCACAACAGAACAGTTCATAAGTCACAGAAAAGATGAAATGGGTTCTCTTCCATAGGAAGGTGGCAGTATTTTTCTCTTCTGATGGCGCACCCTTCATTTCTTTTCTGACTATGCACCGCCTTCATTGTGAAATTCGCCACTCAGCTGAGGTAGAGGTTTATTCCATAGAGAGGTTGAGATTCTCAGGTCGTTGATCGCCTTTCCATTTGACGACACCATCGCTTTGCCCAAGTAGGCTGTGAAATTGACGAGCTTGCGTATGTTCCTTGGATAAAATTTGGCCCTCAATTCGGAGATTTCTTCTCTTTGTTACATACAACGTTGTTAGCATGTGCTTCGCAATAATCGATTCAGGAACTTCTGGCGAGCTTTGGAAAACCATAACCAGTGTATCCAAAGCGGGTCAGAAAAAGGGACGTATGAATACGAGGCAACCGATTCGTAATCTAAATCGGTTCTATCGGATTGGATCTAGTGAGTTTTATGTTGATCACTCACACACAAAGGAATGTTTATGGTTACTACTCTTCCATTTTCCTTTGAGGTCCAATGAAAGTGCAGTTTCCTGGGCTTAACGCCCCGCTCAATACTAGTGATCCAGACATAAAGATTGCTGAACAGTCAGAGGACGAGATCAAGGAAGGTCAACTGAGTGTAAGAAAGGCTTTGGAGGAACAGAAAGAGTAAATTTACAGGTTTTCTGCTAACAGATTTGAGCCATATAATGGTGGCATTTTCAGTATTGGCAAACGACGTTTCCGAGAAAAATTGCACCCACTGGAGCGTGGTTTCAGTGGAAGTCAACTAGTCGGACAGAAGCTTGGTCCGCCGGCTCCTGTCGATGGAGTCTCTTTCGAAGACTTCCAAACGTACTGCCTAGAGGTAACTATTTTCCCACTCAACTGTTGAAAAAGGGAAGGGTATCAAAAATGGGTTGTACAGTCCTTCTTCTGGAGGTGTGTTGCGGTAGATTTGTATCCTACCACATGTGGTCGGGTAAATATGTCTGTTTATGTGTGTTTGACCGGAGATTCGTTGGTATTGCTGAGCTACCGACGCTCAATAAATAAGCTTATCCTACAGCATTCGCGGTCTCAGGTCACTGGAACGTGCTCGACCGCCAATCTACTAAAGTTTCGCTCGAATGGTGTTTGGTAGCGCTTGAATTTTTGGGCTAATTAACGAGAAGGCTGTTTGTCTTCTTACATGGGAATACTCTGAATTTCCCATGGAGCTTGAAAGAAGACCTAGGTACATTGATAGAGTTTTAAACGCTGGTTACAAATAGGGATTCTGGAACTGCACGTGAACTTCCTAAGAATGAGCCTTGAATGTTGGCAGGAAGCGGGCGCCATTTCATGAGAACGGCTAACCACAGGCGAGCCGTGGAAGCGACGCAGTGGTAGAGCTCTCGCTCTGCAGGCGTAGGTTGGGAAGAGTTTTTGCACACTGTTTTTCATATCCAGCAAAGGCTGTCATTCCGATTTCTAACTTCCCTCCTGTTAGTATTTGGTAACGACTCCCATTTACGCGTGTCATCTACGTTTCTCAAAGGTGGAGTAGCTTATCTATAAAGTATTTATTTTGCACATTGAGGGAATAAGATAATAACTCCAAACAATTACAAATGGAGACCTCATTCAACACTGATGAAGCGACGCAAAAAAATGTGAGAAGCAGACGTGTTGTTCGCAAATTGCGCATCTTATTGATGCTGTCCTCTATACAACCATTGACAAAACAGTCGACTCCGGCGCCAAACATTTCAACTCAATCTCAACTTGATGTGCAAAAATTTTCGCGCCGGTTGAGAGCAAACCCACGACCAATAGATCGAGACCAATGCTCTGCCGCTACCACAGCTTTCCAGTGGTTGGCTGGGCTGTTCTCATGAGATGGCGCCCTGTCGCGGTTCGCGACTGTGGTCCCGGGCGCACCGCGCGCTTGGGCACTGCTGTGCAGCAGGCGCCGTGGCGTTGCATGCACCGACTATAGGGGCATGCTCCGCCTCCGGTCCCGCCTCCAGCCGGGACTACTTAAGCGAGCCGCCTCTGCCAGTCGGCGCACTTCGCTCCCTCCGGGAGGAGCGTTGTGCCGGGCAACGCGAGGAAGCTGGACGGCTCGGAGTGCCACTGGCACTCGGCAGTATGGTCCGGCATACTGTCCCGTCCTGTCGGAGCGCTGGCAAGCCAGCGTCCGCTACACCGGATGGACGCTGCCGGCTGCAGGCGCCAGCAGTGCGCCACTTACCGCCGACGACCCGATGGATGGACGACGCGATGGCTTGGTACCTCCAAGCCCGGCAGAAGATGAGAAGAATAGGTCGTCAACTTGTTGCCGCCAATATCCGCCAATAAATGTAATAATTGATAGGCCCGACCAAGGCGCAGTAGGCTTTTCATGTGCTGTTATGTTGTGGGGTGCTAGCCGGGGCAAGAGAGCCCTCGGCCCTTGGGCTGGGAAAGCCCGGGCCGACGGTGGGCCTTGCCCCCGCGGGTTACCGCTTACCGCGACCCTTAAACCCCCTTCCCTGGGTTAGGAACCCGTGACGCCCCGGGGAGCGGAGGCCATGCTTGCGGGAAACAGCATGGTCCCCGGGAAGGACCCGTAGGATGACGTGTGCCTGGGAAAGACCACGAGGGCTCCGAACCACCTCGATGCGTCGTGTTGGAGGGTTAGGAGGGCAACCGCTCCCGATCCACGACACGCCCGTTTACTGCCAACTTTTTAGGCTCCAACTTTCTTAGCTTTAGAGTCCCTATTTGTAATCAGCGTTCAAGACTACCGATGTACCTAGGTCTTCTTTCAAAGATCCTTGGGAATTTTAAAGCATTCCATTTTCAGTAGGGGCTCATTGACAGGCGGGCAGGATAGGCACAATATCATGACTGCTGGAGTTGTGTCCAAAATTCCACTGGTGCTTTGCTTGTCTTTTTAGTGACAGTTCAGTTGATTTTTAGTCTCAAATCAGGATGTATGCTACTTGATAAAAATCTGAAATTCTTTCGTTCAGGTTAAAAGAACGTCCAACATGACGCGAGTCTTCGGTCGTGTACATACTATGGCTGCTCTCGTGATAACAGGGAACGGTAAAGGCCTAGCTGGATATGCAGTGGGCAAGGTGCAGTTTTAATATCATAACTTACATTACCTCTCCTTCAAAAAGCGAGAAGTGTCGGGTGCAGACCAAACACCACAACTGACGACGGCCTCCAAGTAAATCTGGTTAGAAGTTGTTCATAGTGATAGCTGATTTCTGGTAAATGATAGTTGTAATTAGTGACAATCGATAGAATACAACTGCAACAGGCTAATCATTTCATTGGCAGAAAACATTAACATTTTGTGAAGGCCGTCGTCACTTGTGGTGCATGGTCTGCACCCGACACTTTCTCGCTTTTTGAAGGGGAGGTCTGTGACTGGTTCGCATAAATTGATAGCATTTTAATAGGACTTGATAGGAAAAATAGCACAACTCGTTAGCAATGAGAGGGAAGGTTGTAGGAGTGTTGCCAAATGTCTTCCAATCTTCTGCACAAAGGTGGGCATCACATCACCTCAGATCAGCTTGGGTGTGGCCGCAAATGGTGTGGATCGCACAACTTGAGGCACTCGATGTGTTACAACATGGCCCGCGGAAGGGAAAAGAATGATCTCGTACGTAGAAGTACTATCGGAGATCTGGAAGGACGAAGCGTGCATAGTGCAACCTGTGAGTATGGTTGTCCATTGGGTGGCCTCACGTGCGTGGAGAGACTTCTGAACTCAGCCACTACTGCTTGAAGGACCGCAATTAGCCCCAGCAGTAGACGACCGCTATGTTCTGGAACTGGCAAGGATGAATCACATCAGTCGCTTGCTTTTGCTACCACATCTGGCAAAATGGTACGGCATGCGATGAAATCTGACCAGTGGCACGGAGACTATGTGAAGATGGGCAATGCCTGGCGAACTGCACCTTGCACTTCGTCAAAACGCGCATTGGCGGTACCGTTTGCGATGAAGCTGGGAGACTAGGAATGCACCAATAAGAGCAGTTCGGTCTGAATAATGAGTCCGGATGCACTCTCTTTTGGGAAATAGGGAGCACGTAATGCATCCGAGGCTACCCCGCACGTGATCGTTTAAGTGCCCTGGTGTTCATTGTAGGAAGGCGTGATGTTGAGGGACTGTTTTAACCTCCTAATTGGAGCGCGGTATATTCTTCAGTGTATGCTGTTAGGACCTATATTCATTTCATGGAAGACAATGTGTGACCGCATAGAACGGCTTCGATGAGGGGCTTCTCAAACGAGAGGATACGGCGAATTGTTATGCCTTTTCTCCTCTTTGACTCAAATTCCATCGAGCGCTTTCAGAATATTCTTGGGAAAAGTTTTGCAGCACATCCACATGCCCCTATAAAAATGTCCAGAAGTTGTCATTCGTGATGTGCAACAAATGGGAATCCTTCCACGAAGACTTGGTCACTTTTGTGACCAGTATTGGAGCACCGGGCGGAAGTGGTGTAGTGGCAAGTGGCACGCTTACCACGCGAGCGGTCCGGGGATCAAATCCTGGGTCGTGAGTCGCCCGGGCCAACCAAGCCTTCCATCCCTCCGGGGTCGGTTAATTGGTACCAGACTTGTCTGGGAGGATAAAAACACTGACTTGTACATCGGCTGGCCCCCGCAAGTCATTGTATAGGCCACATCGCATTCAAACGCCACTCGAATGTACAAATGGAAGTACAATGCAGTCTCCATGTTCGACTATCATATCTTGGCATTTTGTACACTGGTAGGGTTGCTTCTGTAGCCGACACCAAGATGATATAATCACTTTACTGGCTAACGTTTCGGCCGTGTCGCCGTCGTCAGAGCCTGGAAGTAAGTCAAAGATAAGTGCGACCTAGCCTCCAAACACAATTTCGAACTTCAGAGCAATTCGTTCTAGACCATAGGCATCTAGATAGGAGGGGCAAGACACAAGCACTCGTTAGACTCACCTCTAATTACACGACAGGTTATTGCTTAGACCACCGCTATTCTGACCGACAATGGGTGGCTCCAGGTGACCTGACCCCCGACATGAAGCCGTAGGCGGTCGAAGCCCGCACAGGTCAAGGAACGGTGCGAGTTCATTAGTTATTGACAGGCATTCGTCTTTCCTGTTCATTTTAGGACTTTTAGCGCCAATCCAAAATGCTTCCAGAGTCTTGCGTGCTGGGGTCTGGGGTTCGGTCATCAAAATCCTCACAGCAACCTCAAACTCCGCGTTCTCATGGCACTGCAACCTGTGGGCACCGAGGCTCTGACGACGGCGACACGGCCGAAACGTTAGCCAGTAAAGTGATTATATCATCTTGGTGTCGGCTACAGAAGCTACCGGAAGTACAATGCATGCCGCATCCCAAGACGGGGTTGATCAACGGCAAAAGCTTATCCTTTATCCTTTATAGCACCTCGCAAAGCAGGCGCTGCCGGTGATCACACGCTATCAAGAACCATGTCCAGTTTTTTGGCTTCGGTATCTAAAAACAGTGGCATCATGCAAAACTACTTTTATTCTTAGAGTTTTCTAATGTATAATGCAAATCATTATTGTCATATAAGCGTGTGACTTATGCGCTAAAATTATTCACTTAAAGGCACCACTTCACAGAACAACAACTGCGATTGTAAATGGTATGAATATGGCTTCCAGAAAGTTGTTTTTTGTAGAGCTTCTTGAAGGTCGCACCATTTATCAGGTCAGTGATACAGATTGTAAAACATTCTCACTATAAAGCGCTTCGTCTATGTGCTTGTCTATACCAAAGTTTATTATTACGTGGAAAACCACCCGCAGACCCTGGGCCAAGTTTGGAGCGGGTGGTGCATGATTCAAGACATACGATACAGGCATCAGCCCAGTAAAGGTCTGCGCCGAAACGGGTGGTGCTTTATGCGGTTTTTTGTTCGGTCCCGGAACGACCCAGACACCGTGAGAATCGGTGAAGATTGCATCATGCTGTCACGTGCGATTAGGAGGCGTCAACTAGAAATTTTCATAGCTCGGTTATGAGAGGGTATTTAGACTTCCAAGGAATGGTCAATTGGTCTGTCCGGCCAACTGTAATGAGGGGTAGTCCGATGTGCGTCTTGCGACGCTGAGCTCTGCTTTCGGTTTTTGCCGAACGATTCTCTGAACGAAGTTACGAGGGATTCTTCTCACTGTGGCTATCTCACTGTGGCGCCCTCTACATTCCCTGTCCCACTCGGCTCGCATAAGAAGAGCCGCAGAGCATATGCAGTGGGTATGGTGGTCTAGTGGATAGCGCTCTTGCTTCATAGGGGTGAGGTCATATGATCGAATCCTTGTCGGTAGCAAACTTTTGCATTTTTTCAAGGCTGCTCATACGAGCCCAGAAAGCGTTTATAATTGGTTATTCTGTTATGCGTTCTGTTCGTTCGTTCTGTTTTTACGCGAGCCAAGTGGGATAGGGGGATGTAGAGGGCGCCACAGTGAGAAGAATTCCCTCGTAACTTCGTTCAGAGAATCGTTCGGCAAAAACCGAAAACGGATTTGAGCTCAGCGTCGCAAGACGCGTGCATCGGACTACACCTCATTTTGAATAGGCCGGACCGACCAATTGACCATTCCTTTTTTATTCCTCCCGTGCTGTTGAGCATGTGGAGCAGCGAATTCTTTCCATTGCTGAAGATTTGTGTAAGTATTTCGCCCTCACCCCTAGATACATCTATGTTCTGTAGGTCGTCTTCACTTGTTTCTGGAGCGGCCCAATGCTCTTTGGCTCCGACGGAACCTATTATTTGGAATACGGTGTGGTATACGTAGGATACGTCCAGTCAATCGGAGTCTGCGCCATGATACTTGCCAAGGGACCGTGTTGATGTGCTATAGTGGCAACACATCGAATGATATTACATGCTGCCTTAGTTCCTTTCCAGCTTTTCGTAGCCAAGCTTATTTCGACCCTCTGGGAATGCATCATCTGGGAAGCCCTCTGAAGCTTTATGCCGCTCGAAATTTGAAAATTGTCTCAGATTAAGGCTTCTCACGTTAGACAAGTCTTTCAAGGATTTTTACGCGGAATGTCGCAACACCAGAGTGTTTGCGCAACGTCGTCCTCGTGGATTTGGGCTCACATGCCATCCTAGGTTGACAAAAATTTGTGAGGTGCGTTTGTTATTCATGTCCTTGTTTTTCTGTGTTGTTGTCAAAAGTATGAAAATGAAAGGATTTGGAGCATGTGAAAAGAAGGTGGAAACTGTAGTTGGGAATGGATACACGCATTCGGGCGACAGACTTTTGGCTCGTCCGGTCTGGCACGCGGCAAATTGCGCGGCGAGCGGCGCGGCGATCCGGACGCTTCGCAGGGAACTCAACACGTCAAAGCGTGTGAAGACTGCGGATAAAATCGACGAGAAGAAACTAGCATCGTGCTCTTCGGCAATCAGGGCGCTCATGTGTTGTGGCGTGTTCTATTGGGGGGGGGGGAGGGGAGTGAGCCAATTACTGTGTTTGGAACCGAGCCTTAGGGAGGAGAAGGGATTCTGGGGTAATTTGTGTTCTCTCTGGCGTTCCTCCCCTCTGCTGGGAGTTCGTTTCGAATGTTTCTCCTTGGGACATGAACGCCTCGATCAGCAGAACATATATAGTTGACATTAAATACCTCAACAAAAACACCCAAATTTATTGACTCTTGTTTGCTTTGATGGTAGTAGTGACATTTACATGAAGGTCCTCACTCATATCCTTGCGCTGAAATCCTCACCGATACTGCTGCTTCCAATCTCCGCGAGCGGAAAGATTTTCAAACAGCAGAACCATGCGGAGTTTATCCGCAATCTGCACACGCATTGACGTGTTGAATTCTACCCGAAGAACCCGCGAAGCCTTGTCTCGTCCAGATCGCCGCGCGTGCCGCCGCGCAACTCGCCGCGTGCCAGTCCGGACGAGCCAAAAGTCCCGCACCCCACCATTCAGGGCAAGCTAGAATTACTTGCTCAAGTTTCCGCCCTTGCAAGAACTGTAAATCAGTAAAAGAGTTCGTTTTCTAATAGAAGTTTACGTGAAATGCCATCACCGGACCCGGCTCGCATCTCGAAGTGTCTCTCTCAGAGGAAGAAATTTCTTCCCAAACGAGGAGCAGGCCCGTTTCTGGGGCGCGGCTGGGTATTTTCGTTACGAGGAGTTGTTACTTTCTAAAAAGCGCAGCACGAAATATTCCACTCTGTTTATGTAGGTGCTTTCGATTGGCCGGTATTGTACGCTGGTGAGACCAGTTCGGTGTTCATTTATAACGTGCCGTGTTCGCCTCTATAACACGTACGAAATGTGTTTAACAATGCGGCTTCCGTCAACTGGTCATGATCATATAACCTTCCAATCGATTCTGCAACTTCGAGTGAGGTCGGATGCATGGCCTATACCCAGACAAAATTCGATGATGACGATTGCCCCTTTTCCTATTGCTTATGTTGGAAGAATGTATTCTAGACACATTTCGAGCGTTGCCAACAATTACACTTGCAATGGTGAAGAAGGGAGCGGCTTTTTGAGCGGCCGAGAATCATCCTCGATAGATCCTCGACGCAAATATCTCCTCAACTAGAAAATGTAGAAGGAAGCTAAACATACTGTTAGAAAGCGCAAACCTTCCGCTTTCCAAAACTGTCTTCGTTTTTCAAGATCTTGCGAAATTAGAGAGATATTGCCTTTGAAGTGGCAAAAACTCGCATGAAAATTTCAGCATCCTCGACGCTCCCTCGACAGATTTTGAGAGACTATTTTCTCTGAATGGAAGGCTTTCATAACGTTTTCAACACTGCCTGATAGTATTAGGTTGTCTCATAAGTAGTGTCGCTTTTTTTCAAACCAAAAAATTTTCATCTAAATCCCCATGCTTTTACATCATTCATATACCATTCGAAAGAGAATTGTCTGCTCTACAAGATGCTATGTTCCTCTTCCACCTCTGTTCCAGGGTTTTCAAATTTTAGGCCTGCGAAATGGGAGGTCCAGCCGACAAAAATTGACCAAACCGACAACTAGCTCTAACTTTATTTTCCCTGGGGAGAAATCAATCAATGATGTACCCTCTACTTACTCATGACCTCTTCTAAACATTCCACTCTTAGGTTGCCGAAAAAGCTTTGCCGTGTTTCTTTTCGAATTGGCTGACCGATAAGCCATAGCAATTTTCAAATTGAAATTGTTCCTCGTAAACGCTATTGTTTTATATCAAGTGGTGTTCCTTTTGTGAGCACTTCTTCTGCTCTATTCGCTCATTTGTTTTGTTTTATGTTTGTTGGGAATTAGTTCGAATTTTAGGTGTTTAGGAATAAGGTGCTTTATCCACGAAAGTGACCGCATTTCTTTGAAAAAAATTATCCTGAGAAGATGAGAAAATCAACCAGGCGTACATTCCTAACTTAGTCATGACTTGTTCTTTGAATTCTACTAGTTTTTCAATGTCTCGGCTATAAAAAAATTTTTGCCCTAGATCTCAGCTAATGGTGCTCGACCGTCGAGTTCTGGTTGAAAAACCAGGTCTGGAAAAGGAGCGACGCGACTTCTTAGGGAACCTAATAGTCGAATGTTAAGAAGAGGTCATGTGTAAGGAGAGGGTACATCATTTATTGATTTCTCCCAAGGGAAGATAAAGTTAGAGATACAGTACTCGCCGTTTGAAATCGAAAATTCACGCGAATAAACGCGAATCCTCGTTAAATTTCGTGAATTCGTTATAAGTCGGGTCAGAGTGAAGTATTCCAGAAACGGAAAACACCGTTGAACTCAGCTCTTCAAGCGCTACAAGATGGTGCTGTTATTTTTTCAGAAAGCTTGATTTCGGAATGCGCCATGCACACGGGTTCTATCTCAAAAAGTAGTTGCTCGCATGTGATGTGTATATAATCCCGCTTATGCGGGCTAACCGCTACACACAAAGAAGGGCCTCAAAACTTACCCCAGAATGCGCCACGTACTCAATCTCATCCACTACATTGTGAGATTAGATGAATGTTATTTTCCGAATTCTTAGATCTTCATTTCGTTTTCAAGCGCTTACTAGCTTTACGTGTTCCCTCTGCTCTCAATATCCCATCCTCTGTATATCAAGTGGAATCTTTGAACAGTTCTCAGCAGGCATAGTGGGCCTATTATGTGACATTTTCCATTTTCAGGAGGACATGTTTTGCAGAAAGCTGTGAAGATAGCGAACAATTTCCTTCACTGTCGTAGACTACGGTCACTTGTCTGTAAGGATTATATGGAAACCTTGGTCGCAGGTGAGCGTTTCTTCCGTGGTGTGACCCCAAACATCACCCCTTGTCATGCCTTTGCCCCCTATTACGTGACAAGTCCCATTTTTAGAGGAATGTTTTGTAGAAAGCTGTAAAGGAAGCGAAGAATTTCCTTCACTGTCGTAGACTATGGTCACTTGTCTGTAGGAATTATGTGGAAAACTCGGTCGCAAGTAAGCGTTCCTTCCGTGGTGTGGCCCCAAACATGCCTCCTCGTCATGCCCTTGTGGAATGTTCAGATTTTTTGCATTTCCAGATGAACTCGCAGACCTGAAATGTGCCCCGTTAGCTTTCCCGTGAAAAATGCTATCGAATGATATGCATTACTTCCCCAGTTGAAACTTTGGTTTTTCACCGTTTTCAGCCTTCCCCTATTGCCGGATACCAACTCATCCCCCGATTACTGCCGTACCGAATCTCAAAGCATTTCCACTTCGGTCGAAAACTTTGTCTAATTGGGGTAAAATTCGATTCGCCCCGCTGATTACGATATTGAACATCATTTGCTTTGAAAAAATGTGTGTCATTTGGCGCCATTTCGCGCGCCAATTTGGGCTGCCACGAGCTTGTTGTTGACCAAAAGCGTGCTGACAACTTCTGTGCTCATTTGGGGGTTTATTTGTCCGTGATTATCAGAAAGCGGGCGGCGCTTGGGATCACCTGTTTGTTAAGCGCTGGCGCCATTTGGCGCCACGGCTGTTTTCACCAAATCTGCTGAAACTTCGTCATTTGGGGTTATTTGGGCCGAGCGTGCCGCACTGGACCATCGAACGAGACCAGGGTCTACGTTCATGCCCGAGAGGATTCCTTTTTCGAGAACTGTAACTTTCCTGAGTCAACGGTGTTCGCACTGCCCTATTTCTGGCTGCGCGACATGGGCAAGGTGAAGGACAAGGAATGCCAGATAGGTCAGAATGTGCTGGACGTAGGGGCCACGGTTCACAAATTAGTGGACAGCGGTCTTTCCGTCGCGAATTGTGGGGTACCTGTCAGGAGTAACGCCGCCGATCAGCGAAAGGCTTTGGGTGCGAGGGTAGGGAAACTGACGCAAGCACTGGTTGTTCAATCGTGAAAATACACCCCGCTTGACGCACCCACCGATGGGTGGAAAAGAAATACGCAGGCACAAGTGGCTGTTTGGAGGCATTGAAAGAGGAAGTGGACTCCTTCGGATTGTCCGAAGGAAGGACGTTTCAACTCTACTGCGGCTCATCATGAAGTAGTACATCGAGCACGGTACTACCATCCTCAGTGGCAGCTGGAGAGCTTACAGTCGAATTGCTGCTCTGCCCAACGCATACAGGCATCTCCAGTGAAAACGTGAAATATGCTTCTGGCTTAGCTCACAGTTTTCCACGGTCTGGCTCCTTCCTGTCGTAGGAAAGTCTGATTCGGCGACCTTTCCCACGGTCTGACTCCTTCCTGTCGTGGGAAAGTCTCCGATTCGATGACCTTTTCCACGGTCTGACAGTCGGCGCTCTGAGAAAGGTGCCTAAGAGTACGCTCTGACTGTGAAGTGTTGTTTGTGACACCACATGGCGCCGGCGTCAAGACTGAATGTTATATTCGTGATCAGGACGCCAAATAACCCCTATACACACGTTTTCAGCGGATTTGGTGGAAACAGCCGTGGCGCCAAACAGGCGGCAAACGGCGCTAAATGGCGCCAGCACTAAAAACGGGTGTCGTTTTCGTAATCAGGACCCCAAATAACCCCAAATGACGAAGTTTCAGCAGATTTGGTGAAAACAGCTGTGGCGCCAAATTGGCGCCAAACGGCGCCAAATGGCGCCAAATGACACCAGCATCAAAAATGAATGTCATATTCGTAATCAGGGCATCGAATTACCCCAATAGACAAAGTTTCGA